GGGGGGGGGATTTGCAGCTGTCGAATTTCCAATGCAAGTAACTGAGAGACGTGTTGTTTGTCCTTTTTATGCTCCTACGGGCTTATCAGTGGAATGTGACGAGTGCTTTTGCTTTGTGAGATCTATTTGTAAAGTCAACTTTTGAAAGAAGTTTTGAAATTCACACGTTGTATGGTGTTAGACTGTTTGGTGGGTGCTGAGTGAGGAAGATTATATTTCCAGGATTAGAAATCTTTAAGCCTATACATCAGCTCATAATAGAGTGAGACCTAGAGGGACACCCAGCAAAGATGGAATACTAAATTGGTTAAGTGGAGAGACAGCTGTAGAAGTCCTCACAGAACTGGAATACTTTCGATTGGGAAGCGCCTTTTCACGAGATATTTGTTAGGGTTACCGAAGTCCTTTCACAAACAGCACAGATCAGGGTCAGCTGAACCAATCCATAAGTACTAACAACACGAACATCTGAAATTCCCAACAAAAGTTTGTCGAGGAAAGCATGATTTTGTAAACCGATACGGCACAACTAAACATTATAACAATAAATTAACCAGTCAGTTTAGAACAGCGTTCTTTGTTTCCGTTTTCTTGATTATGTTTATGTAAAATATGAACTCTGTGATTTGTGTCTTATTCTAGTTCACTTTGTATCTCATAGGGTAGGACAGGAGTAAAAGGGGGGGGGGGGGGGGGTGTTTGTGTGGAAGTGCCTGGGCGGGGTTTTGCTTTGTTATTGGTTTGAAGCAGGGACCAAGACCAAAATACAAAGACTGTATCAAATATAGCTGGTTTTCCTTTTTTTAAATTATTTTAGAAACAAGATGGAGAGTGTCGCAAGGAGTAGAGAACGAACTTTAAGGAGAGATCGTGTGGGAGGTCCATGACTTCCTTCGTTGACCGAAACAAGGAACTCGTAGAAACGACAACGGAATCGAGCAGGCGCCGACACGAAAATAAAAATTTCTATAACGGTGAACCTTTTCTTTGGAATTTTCCTGAAACGACACCAACGCAGTTACATCGTTATTTGTTACGTTGCAATGCCGTTACGTGCATACGGATGTCCAGCTTTTGCGTCTCGGAACCATTAGGAACGTTTTTGGCCAAATTAGGGGGGCTACTTTGTTCTCATCTTGCTCTGTTCGTCCAGGCAAAAGAGCACGACGCTAGATCGTTGCAGTGTTATTTGATATTCCTCCTGGACATGAATTTCAGGCGTTTTCTTTCAAATTCTTTTGCTCCCAAACTCTGTTGGTGGTGGGTGGTTGGCGGGTGCTCTGGTGTGGTTTGCTCCTTCTTTCCTATCAAACATCTATCGTCCTTTTCTCTCCTCCTTTTTTGTGTATGTTACTCTCTTGTAACACGTCTATTCTTCGGCACTTATATGACCTTATTGTGTTGCAAGTGCCGTAAAATGCTTACTAAAACTAAACTTCTTCTTTTTTATGTTTGTTACTCTCTTGTAACACTTCTAAACTTCTGGCGCTCATATGACCTTATGCAGTTACAAACGCCGTAAAACCTCTACTAAAACTAAAAACTAAAA